CTTTGAAACAAGCGATATGGGTTTAACTCTTGATAGACCTTCACTCAATCAATTCTCCTTTTAGGTTACTCAATCAAAAGTCACTTTGAAACAAACGACTTGGGCTTAACTCTCGATAGACCTTCACTTTTTAGAGTTACTCGATGGTAAAGGTGTGTCCTTAAGTGATTTCATTATAAGATTGATATTTAACGTTTGGTTCTATGGTGTAGTGGTTAGCACTTTGGACTTTGAATCCAACGACTTGGGTTCAATTCCCAATAGAACCTTCACCTTTTACGATTACTTAATAAAAAGCTTGGATTCGACCTTATGCAGAATCCATATGCACATATCATCTTGAATAGACACATCAAATTTATGTTCTAGGATGTTCTTGAACATGCACTGTTTCCTCAACAACGACTTTGCCTCCGTTCTTTTGAATGTCAAACTCAATAGTCTTTTACTTTCATTACTGCAAATGATAGCATGTTTGAAATGCGTTTATGCCTTTGGCGTATATGTAAGAGTTATATCTTCCATGAGTATGCATAAGTTGGAAAGACAATATCGAGGAGAAGTCCTGGAAGGAAAAACTCAAAGAGGACAATATCTACTATCGGTAGTAGGTTTGAGTTGTTATAAATGGTATTAGAGACAGTCACTGGACGGTGTGCCAGCGAGAACACTAGACTTGTAGGGGGGGGCGAATTGTGAGATTTCACATCGGTTGGAGAGGGGAACAAAGCATTCCACATATGTTAGCTATGCTGGCCTAAGAAACTTGGACAATAAGTTTAGGGATTTGATTGTATAGAAGTTGGAGTTGTAAGAGGAACAGAGGGAGATGCGACGTTGCATTGAGAGACCTTGGCCCCGACCAGAGGCAAGGTCGAGCCGAATGACTTGGACTAGTGTAGAGTCAAGTCGGTTGTGTTGCAGACGATTGAACATGCACACGCAAGCGGCATGTGTGGTCGAACAAGCTTAGATTTTGCACAAGTGATGTTCGATTGGCGAAGACAAACTACGCCTAAGATTCGACGAAGCCACAAAGTTACGGCTTATATCATCGACCAAAAAATTAGAGGTTTGTATCTCCACCTCCACATGTTAAACATTATTATTAAAAACATGGAATTGTGAAAGCCAGTATAAATATAATTTAACTGATTGAAGTATAAATCATTAATTAAAATATTAGAATCTCGAATCTCTTGGAAGATCGGAAAGATCTCTCGATCAAAATTTGATGCTATTGTTATAATAAACATGTATGTCATGCCCTCTTAAGCAACATTTAATTTATATAAAAAACAAAATTTGTCTTTAAGCGATAAATTAAATTACAAGTTTAATCTTTTAATCTTGAAGTTTGTGTTTATATAGTTTCTGATCTTCTTGTAGCAGACCTCTCACGCTCATGGACATTGAGGAATATCCAAAAAAAAAAAAAAAAAGCATTTAGGGTGGTTAAGGCGAACCCATCGGAGCCATGGCGAAAGCGATAAGGTAAGTTTTTTTTCAAGAATTAGTTTGAATTTTGAGTCTAATGAGTCCATAAAAATATTCGTTAGAACTCTAAATTTTAAATTTTTGTCTAATATCTACTGTCTATTCTTAAATTTTTTTAAATTAATTAATTTATTAGATATATATCTAAATTTTATGTCTAATAGAACCTTAAACTTTTAATTTTTAAAGAATATTACATAGGTCAAATTCAAGAATCTGGAAGATATAAATAAAGTTAAACTACCATTTTGATGTTCGAGGTTCGAGTTTAGATCCTGTTCGTAAAATTGTGGGACCTACCTCGTTACGATGGTTCGAGAACAAAATTTGATATTTTAATACAAGTTTAGGAGAGTGTGAGGCTGAATTTTGGGTGTGGGAGAAATTGGTCGTTTTGTGTTCATTCACGTGGAATGGCAAATAAATTGGGATAAGAACGAATCTATATCTATTTTTGCCCTTCACTCCATTTTTCTATTTTTGTCTAATAAAAATAAAAAATAAAATAAAATTTTAAATTATCTATTTTAATTTATAAATATTTTTAAAGTTTAGAGATCTATTAAACATAAACTCAGTTAACTAAATTCATCCTCTTTATTTCATATATGATAGTTTACATTATAATCATACAGTCGAGTCGATACAACTGATTCACCCATGTTCGAGTCGATGATATGGTTGGATTTGAATTGTAATAAAATAAATCATCTTAATATTATTTAATAAAGGAATATTGCTTTTGGCAACGTGCCACATGCCTTAGAAATAATCTAAACATTTAAAACAAAAATTCTAAAAAATAATAATAAAAGTTGTCACTATTGGGATATATTTTGGATTATTTTTAGTAATTTATTTTTTATTCTTAGAGCATATTCCATGATTTGTATTTATTAATGTATATTTTTTTTAATTTGTTTTAATTATTTCCATACAATTTTAGATTCCAAATCTTTTGCTATCAGATTGGAAGTGAATGGCTAAAAAATGTACGTGTGTATGGCTAATGTGTATGTATAGATATATATATATATATATATATATATATAAACATACAAATATATAAATATTAAAAATAAAATTTATTCACAAAATCGGAGGAATATTAAATTATTTGGGATTTGTTTTAAAATTTTGTTTTATAATAAAAAAAAATTGACGTGTAATATTAAAATTTAAATTTTTAAAAATTATTTTATGCAATATTATTTATTTTTATATATTATAAATTTGCTTAAGAAATGATGTTTTTTTTTATATAATTTTTTAATAGATATTGTATTGAAAAATAAAAATTTTGAAATAATTATTAGGAAAAAAGTTATCAGTAAAATCATTTCCACAAAATAATAATAATAATAATAATAAATAAATAGATTTTTTTTTTTTGAGGAAATGAAAAATAAAATACGTGGGTACACGTGGCTCCTCCTCCACAATCCATCATTGTCTTTTTTTTTTTTTAGTTATTTAATTATTTTGTATTTTCTGCCTTTTTTTCTTTTATTTAAAATGGACAAATTATTGGTAAACGACAGCGTTCTTCATGCTATAAATATATTAAATTATTTATTTCTATAAAATATTGTTGTGATTCTAATTTCTATGTAATATTTGCAGGTAAACGACCGCGTTTTCCATGCCAATAATGTATTAAATTTCGGGCTTAGTCATGCCATGTGAACATATAGTGGTTACAGGATCTTAATAGTTACGATGATGAGTTCATTTTTTTCAGAGTTTTTAAGACAAGGTGACAACTAAGGAAAATTCGTTTATAGTGGTTTAACATACGATATGTTTTACTGAAGTAGGTTCTCGACCATCATCAAATAAGTTAAGGGCGAAGTTCGACGTTTCAATGAAGTTGATCTCGATTGATATAGTGAACGTGCCATTGAACCTAAGAAGAGAGTATCGGGTGTTGTAGTGCGCTGACCATGAGGCAGGTGAGTTGATCTCGATGGATTCCTTAATGGCATTGATATCGGACGCTGATTTGGAGGAGTCAACACTCGTTTGCACTGTCGTACCATTTCTCTTAGGGAACCGAGGGCATACAAGTAATTTCACTCTCAAGCTGACGTCATAATCATCAACAAATGTCAATTTTTTTTTTTTTTTTTTTTTTTT